ACTGATCTATTTTTTTTAGATACAACTCAATCTGGTCTAAAGAGACTCTTAGAGTTTAAATGGTTTTCTTACCTTAGAACTAAGCTGTAGTTGTTCAGAGGAGACAATCGGTTGCTCATCTAATTGCATTGCTGCAGATGTATAAAGAAAACCTTCAGATTAACAAACACAACTAATAACTAATGACTAGTATATACTCTGCAAACGAACAGGCAAATTAATCTTCATACATTTCCTGAACTTAAAGTGTTTGTTGATCAAAAGAAGAAGCCGGAAAAAGGCCAACCAAGTCACGTAGCCAATCAGAACATTTTCTGCTTGTGGAAAAGGGAGGAGCAACGAGGACTGACGAATGCCTGTAAACATGGCAGCCACTGGAAGAAAGCAGGATGTAAGTTAGACCAGTGAATCTTGGGTGGAAAATAAAAAGCAGACAGCATGAGAAGAAGTTTAAAGCAGGTTTAGGTAGTAAAGCTAAGGTCCAATCATTTCCCAGCACTCTGTTTAATCCATTACCAATTATAATAAAAAGGTATGACATAAATCCTAACGCATAAAGATATAGCAAATTAGATTAAAGATATGAGTTGATTAATTTGGTCACTGTGGATTTAATTTAGATTATTGCAAAAATGAAATCCATAAAATAATCAATATAATGCATGCCTTAATTCATGAAATTTGGAAATAAAAGTATTATTTCCTTTAACTTAATTTATAAAGGACTTTCTGACGGATTATAATGTGAAATTAAAACTTTAATTAACATGTGGAAAGGTAATGCAAGCTCATTTGAAAGGAAAAAACAAAAACATACAACACCTGCTAGGATTTCAGTTAAAGATCCGACTCCCCAGTGAAACACGTTAAAAATTGGTCTCCTAAACATAAATAGAGGATTATATAAATATATTAACTGATGTAATATCCATGATGTCAACTATCAGCTCTGTGGTTTATTTTAGAAAAGCTGCTCAAAGACTTAAGGATATTCATTTAGCATCTTTTGCATTAAAACCTGACTTACAGTGGTTTAATTTTTTACATGTTTTTCCTGTGTGTGTTTACCTCTTACAATCCGGCGGGGGTCTGAACACAGCGATGACTGGCTGAAGCACAGATAACCCCACAACACTACAGCCGATATAAGGGTGGGCGCCTGCATGCTACACAGAGAGTTTGATTCAAACAGTCATGAAAAAAAGTTGCTGCCCAACCCTGTTTTTTTGTGTTTTTTTGTATCGTTCATTTTATTCATAGTGTAATAAAACATTAAAAAAAAGAATGTAAAGTACAATGCTCCTCTAATAAGTAAACAAATATAGATATGTAATAAAAAAACTTGGCTGTGACTCCATCCTGGAGAGAAATATCAGCTGTGCTGCTGCCATCAACACCTTTGCTTATAGATGTTGGAGATCGGCCTGTTTTCCAGTGTATTCCTGTTTCTCTGACTGTGACTAACTGGATGTGCTCTCTTCATCCTCTGACATGGAGCTGGCTCGGAACTCGTCTGCCTGGCTGTGTGTTTC